CCAAGCCCAGCTAAGAGATTGTCTCTACAATAAATTAAAAATTAGTCAGGCATGGTAGTGCGCACCTGTAGTTCCAGCTACTTGGAAGGCTGAGGCGGAAGGATCATCTTCCTAGTAGATGGAACTACAGATGCGCCACCACACCTGGCTCATTTTTTGATTTATTGTAGAGATTAGGTCTTGCCAACTTGCCCAGGCTGGACTCAGGCAATCCTCTTGCTTCAGCCTCCCAAAGTGCTGGGATTACAGGTGTGAACCACCACACTCAGTCACAAACAGTTTAAAGTCACCTTAAAATATATAAAAATAAATAATAATAATAATAATAAACTCTAATGACATTTTATTTATTTATTTTTTGAGTCGGAGTCTCACTCTGTTGCCCATGCTAGAGTGCAGTGGCATGCTCATGGACACCGCAGACTTGACCTGTTGGATTCAGGCGATCCTTCCACCTCAGCCTTCCAAATAGCTGGAACCACAGGTGTGAGCCACCAAGCCTGGCTAATTTTTTGGCTTATTGTAGAGATGAAGTCTTGCCAAGTTGCCCAGGCTAGTCTTGAACCCCTGGGCTCAGGCAATTCTCTCACCTCTGTATCTCAAAGTGCTGGGATTATAGGCATGAGCCACTGTGCCTGGCTGGCATTCAATTTTTACAGTTTCAAAAATTCTTCCCTCCAATGGAGGACATGGTCAGCTATTTCAGCAATAGAGGCCAAAACTTTCACCAAGGGGACTATAGTTCAAATATTTCTTCCAGAAATCATTCCTCTCAGAGGGTCATTCCTCACAGAGGGTCATTTCACACACATACACATATGCTTGAAAACCTCCGTTTGTCTCTCTCTCTCTGGAGACTGCAGGGCTGGGAAAGGCTGTTGGTTTTTTATTTGTACGAGAAAATGAGTTTCTTTCTCAGAGTGTGCTGTAGCATGACACAGCACTTTTCCTTAGCAGAAACTTTGTTGTTCCAATCATACATGTGGCCATTGAGTTCAACGTGGAGGTCCAGGAGAGGGTGTTTTCTGGAAAAAACAAAAAAGACCAATTTTAATGCCATGCAAATATCAGAGAAGACAGATTGTCAGTAGGATGAAATGAATCAGTAGATGTGGAAGTACTTTGAAACGGTTCTTTTCCAAATACTCTACCACAGGACTGTCCAACCTTTTGGTTTCCCTGGGCTGCACTGAATAAAGAGGAATTGCCTTGGGCCACACATACATTATATAATATAGTCGGTGCATATACATATTAAGACTTCCTTTTTTTGTTTGCTTTTTATTATAAAGTTTAGAAAAATTAGAACAATATAAAACTAGCAGAAAATGTGACTTTGTAAAACTAATCTATCAATGGTCTGGTTCCACGGAAGTGGCTGCAATTTTTAGTTCTCAAGGTACTCATGAGAAATGTTTGTTCGAACTTTGCTCTTTATGTATTTCATAATTGAAAACAGTTGCTCATAAATGTATGTGCTGCCAAAAAGCAATGTCATGAATAAGGCGTGACTGTGAACTTCAAAAATGGAACCACACATGGGGTCATGAAGAAAATAAAAACACATACTGTTAAAAGATTTTGTGGGGCCGCATTACTAGTTGTCCTGGGCTGCATGCAGTATATGGGCTGTGGGTGGGACACGCCTGCTCCACAAGCTGCTTTGTGAATGACCTAAACCAGTTTGCAGCACTCTGGCCCAGTGACCACTCTCCTTTCCCTCAAGGGGCAGGTGAGTTTCACCCTGGAAACATACCAGCCAGATGATAACCCACCTGGATCATCTATGCACATGTAGGATGGATGGAAAAAGCCAATAGCACAATACTGGCCCATGAGGCATCTACTGTCTTAGAAGGCTGAGTGGCTTTTGCTCTAACACTCTCCTTCTGGTTGAACCACCACTAAGGAGGTGGGACAAAGAAGGTGACGAGATTTATTCCTAGGGACTTCAGAGTTACAGCCCAGAATGAATTTGACAGATGACACAGGAACATCATTCTAGGCCATGCATGGTGGTTCATGCCTATAATCCCAGCACTTTGGAAGGCCAAGGTGGGAGGATGCTTGAGCCCAGGAGTTTGAGACCAGCCTGGGCAACATAGCGAGACCTCATCCCTACAAATAAATAAAATAATTAGCTGGACATGGTGGTTCATGCCCTGTAGTCCCAGCTACTCAGGAGGCTGAGGTGGAAGAATCAGCTGAGCCCAGGAGGTTGAACCTGCGGTGAGCTGTGATTGTGCCACTGCACTCCAGCCTGGGTGATGGAGTGAGACCCCAACACAAAAACAAAACAAAGCAAAACAAAACAGAAGCATCATTCTAAATTGTCATTTGGGGCAACTGGAAAAAGTCAGTTAATCATACCCTTGAGGTACACTGTGGTTTAAATGGAAACCAGGACACTGATGTTCCCCTTAGAAAAGTATTCTCGCCAATAAACATTTAAAATGTTCTTAACAATTCAGAGACCTGAACAGTTAGATACCATTTTTCACCTATCAAATTGCCAGAACTTGGGGAAATATAAGAGCATGCAGTGTTGGCGAGAATTCGGGGACACTGCCACACCCCACAAAGTTTCTTTGACCTACTAGAGGACAATCTCTGTAAGATGCATCTCATCCTGAAAAATGCTTTAACTCAGTAATTCTACTTTCGGAGAATTTCCCCCAAGAAAGCAATTAAGGATAAGCACAAACACTAAGCTGCAAAGATGTTTAATACTTACTTTGTGTGGAAGCAAAACACTCTCTAACAATTGAAGATATCGAGTAATTAAGTTATAGTCTCATTACAGGCTGATGTGTAGACATTAAACTGATACCATAGAAACATGACTACTAGCATGCAAAAATGTGTGTGATCTCCCATGAAACAAACTAAAAGCGGGTTGTAAAGTAATAGTGAGTTGTGTCTTTTAGGATACATGAACTAGAGGGGTGAAGGTCTGTAGCGTCTCCCCATGTGCCTCAATGCCATGTCTAGAAAAACAGAGGAAGCCAAGGACTTTCTGCTCACAGCCAGGCAAAAGGATGCCAAATCTGTCCAGATCAAAAAAAAGGAGCTAGGCTCGGAGGCTCAGCCTGTAATCCCGTGCTTGGGAGGCTGAGGTGAGAAGATTGCCTGAGCTTGAGGGTTCAAGACCCACCTGGGCAACTTGGCGAGACCTCATCTCTACAATAAATCAAAAATCAGCCAGGTGTGGTAACGTGCACCTGTAGTTCCAGCTACTTGGAAGGCTGAGGCAGAAGGATCGCTGGAGCCCAGCAGGTCAAGACTGCGGTGGCCGGGAGCAACCACTGCACTCCAGTCTGGGCGACAGAACGAGATTCCAACTCAAAAATAAATAAATAAGCTGGGCTCGGTGGCTCAGCCTGTAATCCCGCGCTTTGGGAGGCTGAAGTGAGTGGACTGCCTGAGCCCGCGGGTTTGAGACCCACCTGGGCAACTTGGCGAGACCTC